TATGCGTTCGCGTTCACTTCGCACCAAAATCGCTTTTTCTTCCTCGACGGTGGTCAGCTAATACAAAACAACGATAAGACAACACGATAACAAAAATTCAAGAGGGTAGAAGTAAGAACACAATGCACGATGGGAGAGTAGCGTTGACAAAATACGCCCATGCAGCACACGACACTCCGTTAAGCGACATGAGAAATCGGGTAAAGTACGTAATAAAGGGAGGATAATAACTGACATGCATTTCGCTGGTCACCTGTTCTCGAAGCTCAGCGTTCCTCGTTTCAAGTGCTTCCAATTTTTCATGATCCGCTTTCTGCTGCGGTTCAGGATCGCGATCGACAACACATGCGATGCGGCGACGAACTTGAACACGTTTGTCAGCCTGAAGGCGGAATTATCAGTATTCGACATATTCTCAGTGACAGGAGGATTACCTTCTCCTGCATGGTGCTAATCAACTTTTGTTGCAGAACATGAACTTGCCGCCGAGTTGTCGCCAGTTCACCCTGGCACAATTTTAAGCGTTCTTCGCTTTCATCAAACAAATCGCCCTAAGAAAAAAAAACGTAATAACCGAGTGCGTAAAAAGATATTTTCATCTGAAAAGTCCTTAGGCATTATAGAAATCATAGAAATCCAGGCACCTTGGCTATTGTCGTGGACTTGCTCCTTGAATTTGGCCTACACGCCACATACTTGCTGACGTGCCGTGGCCTTGCTTCACACTCCACGTCTCGACGGCTCTTATTTATCTAAAATTGGCATAAAAACCACTAAGAATAACTAATGAGCTGTTGAGATCTCGGAAAGAACTTGAGCTCACCTGACTATTCAGCATCGCGACATGATCGATACTACTTGTCAAACGACGCTCCAAATCAGCACGTTCGAGTTTTGATTTCATCTTCATATCTTCTTTCTCCTTCAAATGGTGCGAAATCTCCGCCTAAATGAACTCGAAATTTTTTTGAAGCATCGTATAAAGGTAAAGAAACTGGCCTTGGCCCTTTCGAGACTCTGCTCAAGTGCTGCCTGTTTACCCGTCCAATATTCAGACTGTTCTTTATACTTCGACAACGCCTCCGATAGTGCGCCTTCCAAAGCATCTTCCAATTGTTCGCGCTGGGTAGCGAACCGGATTTCAAAATCGCTCTTCTCCTGAAGATAGAAAGCTCTAATGTCAAGCAAACCTTTCTAATTACAAAAACATGCCTTTAGTAGTTGCTCAATGCGAGTTTCTAACACTGGGACCTTCTCAGCAACAGAAGAGATTTCTTCCAGCTTTCTGGAAAGCAGAATTCAAAATCCAAAAATCCACAAAGGACTTCAATGCATACTTCTTGTAAGATTCTCTTTCCTCCTGATGCGAATCGATTTCTTGACGCTGATCCCGACGTGTATCCTCAAGCTGTTTGGACAGAGTATCCACTAATTGTGTCTTGGTAAGAAGGATGCGTTCAATTTCAGCAAAACGTTCAGTAAGATCTGAGCGATTTGACGCGACTTCGGAGTGTAGCTCCTGAATTAGATTTAAAAAGATTTGTGTAGAAGCAAATTCCTAATCCAACCGTAAGTTTTCTTTTTGTTGAAGCGAACTCGTCCTCGTGTCTTGACAACGCCTCCGCTGTCAACGATGTTTGAACACGTTTGGACATCATAACATTGTATCTAGAAATGCGGTAATGTTATGCGCTCAGCAAAGATTCAAAGCAGACCTAGGATCTACAAATCCTTTCCGCCAATCACTGCTATTTTCATCGCTAACGACGAGATCATGAGCCATGAGGGTGTTCTGGTATACCTGCATTCGCTCTTCCATATAAGCTATCGCTTTATGCATAGTCTCTTTTTCTGCCTAAAAATAGTGGAATATTTCTTTGACGAGAATCCACAAATATAAGAAAATGGTCGGTAACCCTTGGAAAGGATTTACGAATT